CCTTGGCAATTGTACTATTGCTCTGTCAATTCTCGGAATGGAATACATAAAAGTACTTGAAAATTTCCATGAAAATCGCGGTTGAAAAGCGATATTTCAAGCTGCTTGCTGTATAGCTAAAAATTATCGTATGCCTATTTCTACTATTATTTATCTGCCATTTTTTGGATAGAGACACACTAAAAATGCCTTTAATATAATTCTTTGGAATGCGAATCGCATAGAAAGGCGATATTTGCTAAAATTATCAATATATTAAATGATATACAGTTAGAATTATGCTTATGCCATACTTGTTTGCTAGTATGAGAATCGCATGGAAAGGCTATATTTAATAAAACTTTTGTTGAATGTGTAAAAGCTTACAATTATTATTATTATTATTATTATTATTATTATTTTTGTTTTTTAATAATTTAAACCCCGTTTCTCCACTCTACTTTCGAAATAAAGTATATACATATAAAATATTTTAAAGCTAAATAATAATATTCCGAGAATCGCATAGAAGAGCTATGTATATGTAATAAAACTAGCTTGCTGTGTAGTTGAAATCATATTTAATGTATAAAAAAAATTTATTTATATATATATATATTTTTTTTTTTTTTATTATATTTAATTTTTAATAGATTTAAGGCATTTTATAATATCGAAATTAAGTTAAGTATAAGCAAAATATTTGACATTGCTCTTGTATCCCATTGAAAAAATTTGCTTGCTTCTCTAGCAGCTGCTTGAGTGTAGTCCTCATGGGCCTATGTAAACAAACATTGTGTTCAACAATTTTCCGCTTGACTTTTGCGCTCGAGTTCCGGAATAGCAAAAAAATATTACGCATACGCCATGCTGTGTCGCGACCTCAAAATTAGCTGCTGCAGGCGAGTCAGCGGCTAAATTAGCCAAATATAAACACAAATCAATTACTGTGTGTGTGTGTGTGAGTATCTCCCTGTGCGTGTGTGTGTGTGTGTGTGTGTGTGTGCGTGTTATACATAAGCAGATATGAATGTTGTAGTTGCTCATGACTTAAGTTTTGCACTGTCGCTTGTACTCTGCTCGCGTCTTGACGTCGACATTAGCGACAGCATCGACGTCGCCGTCGACGTCGGCGTCGGCATCAGCTTCAGCGACAGCATCTGCAGCAACCTTCGTCTGCGCTGCGACAGCGAACTAAAAGTATTTGGTTCAAGTGCCAAATGAAATATTGACTAGGCAAACGCCAATCGCCGCAAGAGACGCAGCGACGCTCGAACTTTCAGCATATGGCGCGTGTGTCTGCAGCGAGTATGTGTGTGCGTGTGTGTGTGTGTGTGTGTGTGTGTGTGTGCGACGCTGTTTGATACAAGCGCCATTCTGTTCACTATATAAACGTATACTATATCATATTGTTTCTCTAAAATAATAATAATAATAATAACATGGCAAATATTTTACTTTTCCTCTCACTCTATATCGCTCTCCCTCTCTCTCCCTCTCTCTCTCTCTCTCTCACTGAGCTGTTTGCCGTGTGTGCCGTGCGCCTTGCAGATGGGTTGACAAGAGCAATTTATGTGTCTCGTCTCTCTATCGAAGATCAAATACCCTTGCCAACAGCCATGGCAGCCTCTTTGAATGCTCTCTAATTGAAATATACATTAAAGGAATATATATATATATATTTCTATATGTATATATAGTCCTAGAGCTAAGAAGTTATGGACATAATGCGGTAGAAACATCTTCAGCAAAATTTGTGACATGTTTATAAAATGCTGCTTGGATAGGGTATTCAGCCAGGCATGTTAACCTGCGTATTGCCCCCCCCTCTCTCTCTCTCTCTATCTCTCTCTCTCTCTCTTGCTCTCGCTCTGTCTCTGTCTCATGCTGTCGCTCGGCCTCGGCGCCTGTTTTTTTTTTTCTGCTGTCTAATAATAAATTGCCAAAGAATTTATATGTACTTGTATGTTTGGCAACAACAACAGCAACAACAACAACAACAACAGCCACAGCAACTGTAATTTGTTGTTTATGCTCGCTTGTTGTTGTTGTTGCTTTTATATGATTTGTATTTATTACGCTTCTTCTCGACGTTGTGCTTAGTTTCTGTTGCTTAGTTTTGCCGCTTGGCTCGTGCGAAGGTGTAAAGCAACATTTTCGCTCTTCTTCTACTGCTTCTTATTTTTATTTATTTTATTCATTTTTGTTGTGTTTTTTTTTTTCGTTTTTGTTCACTTTCACTTTTCGTTTGCCCTTTATGCCAGCTGCTTGTGCTGACAGTCTGTCCCGTCAGCCCCCTGGCCACGCCTCTATTCTTGGCCGCCTCTTGAATAAACCACTTAAGATCTCAGCGCCTTTCAATTTCAACGATGACATCGTTCGCCGAATGCTTAGCATCAGCTTTAACATCATCAAAATGGAACTGGCGATTTCCTAAGCGAGAGGACTTAAGGAAAAGTTCTATACACACACACACACACACACAAATGCAGTTTCAAGGTTAGACACAGTGCGTGCTAATTTATGCGACAAGTGCTTATATACTTGACACAACTTTAAGAATCTAGAAACTTCAGAAGCTGAATCATCAGCTGAAATGTAAATTTTTTGCCATTGTGCTCGGATCTTAAAAGTTGATGAAGTAGCTTTAGTTCTAAGCATACATAAAGAAAGAAAGAAGATTTAAAAAGAAATTCATTGAGTTAAAGTAGTAGCTCAAGATCTTTGGACATAAGGACAGACTATAGAAACTTGATAAATCACTATGGTAGCTTCAGGCCTTGGTTTAAGTCGTCATCAAAATGAGAACTTCATTAGCTATGAATGTAATTCCAAAACTAAGGACATGCATATGTATATAGATATTGCATATTATCAGATAAGAGTGATTATGTATGTAGGGTTCAAAACGCATTCTGCTTTAACCTTAATCGAGTTCTGGTTATGGCTATATTAGACGATATATAATAAGATGAGGTGCTCTAAACACAAATTCAAATATTGCCAACTAGTCGGGACTGCTCGACTATGAGACATGCTTAACTTTATGCGGAGTGGCCTATTCAATCAAAAGATATTCATAATCATGCGTTCTTATGTAGATTCTCTAGGGTATTAAATTAAAAAAAAAAGATAAATGCACATCAAAATGCAAGGGTAAATATATTCTTAAAAAAAAAATAAAATAAAAAAAAAAATAGTATTCCTTCCTTAAAATCCGAAAATACATAAGAACTTAAATTACAATAATTAAAACAATATTTATATATTTTTTTTTATTATATATATGTATATATGTATATATATTTATTATTATATATAATATATATTATAATAGTTGATTAAAAAATATTATAGACATTTTTAAGCATTTAAAGACTGCACAAATTGTATTTTAGTATTAAAATAGTATTTAAATTTAATACAAATTGAAATATTTTTAAAGATTTATCCTTTGGCATAAAAACCTCATAATTGAGATATATACAAATACAGACATATTTATATTATTTTATCACAGTGAGCTGTCATAGTTCACCAGAACTTAGCTATTCGGAACTAGTTCACCAGTGCGCCGTTAGTTTTTTCTAATTGAATTCAGCTGTTTGCGAGGCCAAGCATATTTTGGAACTACGGTAAAAAAAAGTACGGGAAAAGCGTGAAAAGAAAAATGAAATTAAAAAACTATTTACAAATCGAGCGAAATGGCACAAGTTGCCCTCCCCCCACCACCCCTCTCTCATCCTCCTCTTTTTTTCCATGCGGCACTGAGGCAGCGGCGACACCGCTGTGGATCGAAAATGAACTGTTGCTGTGGAAAGTTCGCTGAGCATTTTTCAATTGCGACACAAAACTATTTTACTTACGTGCGACTTTCACTTGCAAATGGCGCAAAACTTTTACTCGCCGACTGTGTGTGCGAGTGTGTGTGTGTGTGTGTGTGTGTGTGCGTATGTGAAAATGTTGTCTGCTATCTGGCTGAGCAGTGCGTCGCATTAATTAATAATGGAAAATAACTGTGTCGCTGTTTGCCTGCCTAGCTGCCTAGCTGCCTGACATTGCCAGAGTTGCCAGATCGTTAGAGTGCACTGGAAACCCATTAAAGCGCGCCGCGCCCTTTACAACAAATTCCAGTGTGTGTGTGTGTGTGGGTGGATGGGTGGTGGGTGTGTGTATAAATGCAAGTGCTTCATTTCAAGTTAGTTACAGTCTAGAAATTTTCATTTGTAATTAAAAATTCAGCGCACAATCTGCCAAAAATATTTGAACCACGGGGAACCATTATAAACTCGGCTGGCATTTGTTCGCTTATTAGGTTTCTCTGGCATGCTCGTGCACGCTGTGAAATGAGTATATTGAATGCGTGAACGCACTCGCAATGGGATAGAATTTAAAATAAAATAAATATATATATATATAGAGTATATATATTGTAAACATTTTCTTACCTTATATACATATAGAGATATATGAATTCACAAACATTATTCATAAATAAAATATTTATTAACAATAGTAAATCTAAATAAAAACATTTCAATACAATTGTTCATATAAATTGCATGAGAACTTAACTTTAACCATAACACAATCGTGCACTCAATCAAAACATGATGCATATATGTACATATATACATATGTATGTATATATATCTGACATCTGTTTGTAAACATGGATTTATGAGCTCGTACTCGCTCGATATGCTGCTGATAAAGACGTTTTAATGCGCATAAATTAATGGAACGCAATCAGCCGCGAATGCTTCAAATTCACACGTTGAATATCTTGCACATACTTTTCTCTTGATTTAATTTTTATTATACCCTGAACCCATTGAAAATGGGAAATCAGGGTATAATGTTTTTTTTGTATTATTATTATTATTATTAATTTTTTTTTTTTTCGCTTCTGCTGGTCTAATTACATTAAAGTGGTTAATTAAAAATGCGAAGCACTCGCTGCTTCTGCTGTTGTTGCTGTGGACACATTAAAACATATATACACCCAATTATATATGCAGATAAATGAATAAAGAGATCAACAATTGATTGAAAAGGAGTTGAAGTAATCACAAACAGCTGCAGAAATTAAATAAAATGCAAATATAATAAAATAAAAAAAAAACAAGCAAAAACAAAAACAAAAATAATAATATATTTATATGTGTGTACATATATTATTGATACAAACGAAAGAGAGAGAGAGAGAGAGAGAGAGAGCTAAAAAAGCGAGCCAAATACAGGCGACAGCCTTGGGGGCAACATGGCGTATGATTAACGCCACTTGTTAAGTGCACTGATTAAAGGTAAGTGTCATAATTCACGTACCAATTATATTTAATTGTTATTCTGTGGCTGCGGGCGACTGCGACTGCGACTGCGACTGCATTTGTTGCCTGCCGCCAGCACACAGCCTGTTTGTTGTTCGACACTTTCCAACACTAACGAGGCGACCAATGAATACAAAAAATAAAACAAATATTTTTTGTTTTTTTTTTTTTTGTTTTCCAACTCAACCACAATCGAAATAAACATTTATTGTCAGCTACAAAAAAATGCAAAAATCATGCTCGTCTAGGCCAACAGTCTGGCAGATATCCATTAGTCTAGTCGGGTGTTATCAGCTGTAGAATACTCGTTCGAGGTAACAAATACGGAAAGACACATTTTTTGTTTTGCCAATTTTTTATTTGAGTAGGTCAACAGTAATTTCGTCGTACCATTTTGAATATACAATTTCTTCCCGATTTGCCACACCCCCAATTGGCGTACATTATTTATGTTGTGTTGTCAACACGATTCATTCCAAATTTCAACTCTCGGATATACCGGAATATGCACTTTCCAATTTGCCATGCTTCTAGTGGACGAATCGGGAAATTTTCGACACTTTATAATCCTAGGGTATGCACGTATTCTATCTTTGAAGTCTCTGGCTTTCTCGATATGACGTACATTTATTATCAATAGACGAACATAAATCTAGACAAACTTTGCAAAAACCAATACACTCATTTCATTTTCGAGTGCCCGCCTACAGAGTATTTTATCGAGTATTAGTCAAGCATAAAAATAACGATATCAGCCCCAGGGATTTGCTTGCGGGCGTGTTAAAAATCGACACAAGTTGTAAAGCAACAAAAAAAAAAAAAAAAAACGAATTTATTAGAAACAACATTTGTAATTATCAGCAAGATTAATATCATGCCCACAACATGTAACAGAATACTATTAATAACAATATAAACACAGACAGAACAAAACGAAATGAAAAAAAAAAAAAAAAAAAAAAATTAAAAAAAAAAAAAAGTTTTAAATAAGCACAGCATAGAGAAATTTAAAAAGTTTAATTTGAGTGAATGAAGATCAAATTTATATAAATAAAATAAAACGTATATCGATAAATATCGATGTCAAATTAATTCTTTTGCCCCTTTGGCTATTATTGAATCACACTAGAAAAACAATTTAAATAAATGATATGTTTAAGTATTAGAGAATTTTTCAAATTTTCTAAATATTATATATTGTTATAAATTTTTATATGTGAATAAAATGAAATTCAAATTAAATCGAATTTTGGGAAACTCATAAGATATTTGTTGACATTATAAAAATCATTAGATATCATTAACACTATAAGATCAAATTCATATAAATAAAATAAAACGTATATCGATAAATATCGATGTCAAAGTAATTCTTTTGCCCTTTTGGCTATTATTGAATCACATTAGAAATACAATTTAAATAAAAATTATGATTAAGCATTAGAGAATTTTTCAAATTTTCTAAATATTATATATTGTTATAAATTTTTATATGTGAATAAAATGAAATTCAAATTAAATCGAATTTTAGGAAACTTATAAGATATTTGTTGACATTATAAAAATTCATTAGATATCATTTACTCTAGAATTTCGTATTATAAACAGTATATTTGGTTAATAAATTCGATAATTATCGATTTCAAATTAGATATTTTTTTATCGAATCTTATAGTAGCTGAAAATGAATTGCCATGAATTACCGATATTACATGGGAATCCTAGATTTCATTTAGGTTAGTATTATGTACTTTAATAGTAGTTTCTGAATTCACTTGGCCATGATTTGGGAGCAAGTGTTTCTTGTCATATGTCAGAGCTGATGCGCGCTAGCGACATTTACATTCGGAAGGACTTAACTTTGTTTGCTCACTGAATCCGTTTATGTCTATTTAGGGTTTTATGTAGCGGGCCTCGCCGGCAGAAGCCTCGAAGTAGGACGTCGAATATTTTATGTGGCCAAACAAGCTTAATACCAGTTAAAATTGTTGTAGTTGTTGTTGTATTTAAAGCTAGTGTATTCGCGGAATTTTATGCATTTTTATTCCATTTTGTTGTTGTTTTTTTGCGATGTCCTCAACCAGAATCAAGTGTAGCCCGAGAGCCGTGTGGCTGCGCTGCATCGTCTCTGGCTGAAGCTGCGGTTGTTGTTGCAATTCTATTTTTTTTTTCTGTTTTTTTTTTTGGGTAATGGAAAAGGACAGGAAAAAGACTGCGCTGCCAATGGCCGGGACTGGAAGGAAACATGGGCAATGCCAGTAGCAACAGCAAGAGCAACAGCAACAGCAACAGTAGAGGCGGCAGCAAAAGTAGGAGCGTCGAATGCCCTTGTGAAATATGATACAACTCGGCACGGTGTGCGAAATGCGCGACGTGTGGCGCAGGGTGGTGCAGTGCTTTTGATTTGTGTTTGTGACCCACAAAAATGCAAAATGCCGCAAACAAGCGAAGCGAAAGCGTAACAAAAGCAAAAATCGACAGGCAGACGCAAAAATAATAATGCACAAGCGGAAATACGATAATGCCTGCTGCATTTTGAAGTCGTTTTAGTGCATGTGTGTGAGCGAGAGAGAGAGCGAGAGAGAGAGCGAGAGTAAATGGAGACAGAGTGTGAGGAAGTTAGGGAACTTACCGAATTTCCAAATTGATACCAAAATGCACAAATCACGCTAGATGTCTCACTAAAGCTCTGGATTCTCTCGAGTAAATGTGTGCAAGTGTGCGTGTCTGTGTATGTGAGTGGAAAGAGAATGCACGACTAAGAAATACCCTGAGAGAAAGAGAGAGATAGAGAACGGTAGAAAGATAGATTATGTCTGAAAAAAAGCTTGAGTGAGAGATCGAGAGAGGTATAGGGAGTTAGAGAGAGAGAGAGCGAGAGAGAGAGAGAGAGCGAGAGAGAGAGAGAGCGAGAGAGAGAGAGAGAGCGAGAGAGAGAGAGAGAGAGAGAGAGCGAGAGAGACAGAGAAAATAGTAACGATTTCAGAGCAGACCCAGAACTGTAAAGGATCTTCTTTAAAGAAAGTAAAAAGGCTTTTGTAATCTGAATTTAAATGGAGTGTTCGCTTGAATGAAAAACTCGAGTCCATAAGCCTTTGTAGTCAATAAGGCTCATGAACCAAACCCCCTTTGCCTGTCGCATACCCCCTTTCAATTCTATGATTACAGGGTATGTCAGAGAAAAGCACAACATTATAACGCCAGATGCAACAACTCACAAATGCCGCACTCTGGCGCCCCAAAAGCTGACGCCTTTTTCTCTATATACACCAATTCCCAGAGAGCTGGTGCAAACTTTGCAGCGCATGTTATACGAACCCCTAGTGATTCCTATTCCGATTCCAGCTGCAGCTCCAGCTCCGACTCAAATTTCGATTCCCACTACCGACGCTACGCACGCCCCTTTTCGACCCCAGAGGGTCAGGGGTGACAGACAAAGTTATAGTTACATTCAGATTGCGCTCGCGGTTATTGGCCTAAAGTGTTGACAAATTTATTGCCTTGTTTTGCCTTTGCCCTTGCCTTGGCCAATTGTTGTTGTTGCCCGATTGAAAGTTCTTCACAGCTTCAACGTTTTTTGCTCAGCCCTTGGCCGAAAATTGATGGCAGCTCGTGACGGGGCGAGCGTGAAAAACCGTCCGTTGGGCCTTGGCGAAGACGCTTCTGGCAGTCGAGACAGCTTAATCGTCAGCTTAGACCAGGATTTCTATTAACAAAACGACATTAATAGAGGACGGAACGAGTCACTATTTATCAGCGTCTAGCGCAGCTCAAAGTTTTTTTTTTTTCTAAAGAAGCGAATTATTGCTGCATTTTGTATACTTTATTCAAAAAAAAGGAAAAAAAATGTATGTATTATTATATAGGAGCACAGGGTGTGCCCCGCTCTCAGTTGCGGCCCAGCAAACAGTTTGTCACCAGCGCGCGATTAAGGCAGATCTTGGCCCTGCGGTCGAACCACTGGCCCGTGGCACAGGTCTGGCGTCTGGCCCGGTTATTGCGACAGACGTAATACCTGCGGCAGTGCCTGGGATCCGTGAGGATCGTGTCATCCCTCATTCCACGGCAGTCGAGTGCCGAGACCAGAGTTGCGGCGTCCTCTAAGGCGGTGCAGTCGCAATCGCCTAGGCCAGAGGGGCATTTACACCGGGGCTCGGCATGACTAATTGTTACTATTGCATCTGTGCGTTCGGTTGTAGTACAGGGTGTTGTTGTTGTACAGGGTGGTGTTGTTGTACAGGGTGGCGTTGTAGTGCAGGGTGGCGTTGTAGTACAAGGTGGTGTTGTAGTACAGGGTGGCGTTGTTGTACAAAGAGGCGTTGTTGTACAGGGTGTTGTCGTACAGGGTGTTGTTGATGTACAGGGCGGCTCTGTTGTCGTACAGGGTGGTGTTGTTGTACAAGGTGGTGTTGTAGTACAAGGTGGTGTTGTTATACAGGGTGGCGTTGTAGTGCAGGGTGGCTCTGTAGTCGTACAGGGTGGCGTTGTTGTCGTACATGGAGACGTAGTTGTCATACAGGGTGGCTCTGTAGTCGTACAGGGTGGTGTTGTAGTACAGGGTGGCTCTGTTGTCGTACATGGAGACGTAGTTATCGTACAGGGTGGCTCTGTAGTCGTACAGGGTGTCGTTGTAGTACAGGGTGGCTCTGTTGTCGTGCAAGGTGGCTCTGTTGTCGTACATGGAGACGTAGTTGTCGTACGGGGTGGCTCTGTGGTCGTACAGGGTGGCTCTGTAGTCGTACATGGAGACGTAGTTGTCGTACAGGGTGGCTCTGTTGTCGTACAGGATGGCGTTGTTGTCTGCAACCCATCGCACGGCGGTGCTTGCTCCTCACTGGAACCAGCCAGTGCAAACAATGCAATCACAACCGTGAACAATTTCATGTTATCTGCAAGGATAAGGCAAGGATCGCTTGTTAATGGAATGCCGGAATAGCAGAGCGAAGACGAGTGCCAACTCACAAACTCTCATTGTATGCATTCAAGTGAATTGTGTTTAGTTGCTGGAGTGAATGCTGAGCTCGATCGGTCGAGCTCTTTTTATAGCCAAGCGTCGGCATTCTTATCAGCGAGTGGAATGCACAGCTTGCAGCAATAAATTAACTAAATTTGTTTGTCGAGCTGTGTATGAAAACAATGTTAAACAGAAAGACAAATAGTCAACACTTCAAATAATTCTATAATTTGCGTTATAGTTCCGGGTAATCACTATTTGTTTGCTTTCCAAGAAAATATGTGACGATCCATTTAAGGGAAAACAACATTTTGAAGTAGTTTCAGTAGTCGTCATATCGTGACTTTATGGGAGCATCGAACTAATGGATGAATGCCAATGGAGATTGCTCTTTGAAATATTGCACAAGCTGAGGAAACTTTGGATATTGGGCGTATACTGAATATTTCTGAATTTTCTTTACAATGCTGCTAAAATTCTACTTGAATGAAAAGTTTAAAGGCATATACACATTATGTGCCTATGCATTACAATATTTCCTTTGGTATTTAAAAAATATCAAATCATTTGGCAAACCTACACTTAAATTGGTCAAAGAAAAGGAAAATTTTGAGCAGGAAAAGAGTCAACTTAAAGTGAATTTGCTGTTATCGATGCTGTTCGATGGCTGACCCGCCCATGGCATGCCATGACATGGCACATGGCTGTTGGTTATTTCATGACTCTCGGCCCGTTTCAGCATGTTGATGGTATTGACATTTGGCTCCGGTCATTTGGCATGCCGAACACAGCCTGTAAAATAGTTGAAATTGCCTGTTAACTGATTTCGGGGCAACGCTTCAAGCGGTCAACAAAAAAAAAAAAAAAAAAAAAAAAAAAAAAAGAAGAAAAGTACCCTTTATGGTTGCGCCAGGCCAAACCGGCCAGGCTGGCCCCACTGGACAGTGCGACGGACGAGGACGAGGCTTGAGCCACTGGCCAAGTGGACAAGTAGCCAAGTGTCACCCATTTGGCAGCCAATAAAAGTCCTGGACGCTGTAAACTGTGAATGCGCCCAAAGCGTTTTCAACGGGTGTGAGGGTGTGCGTATGTGTGTGTGTGTGTGTGTGTGTGTGTGTGCGTGTGTGTGTCATAATTTTTGGGCACAAAATACCGCTGATTTAAGGCTGTTGCCAAACTATAAAGAGAGAGAGAGAGAGAGAGAGAGAGTGAGTGAGAGAGTGAGAGTGAGAGTGAGAGAGGAGCAACGTCCGAAATTGTGAAAAACTTTTGTAATTAAATGTGGCTGCTGCAGCAAAGATTTATGCCACGCCTCTTTCTGTTTTATTTAGTATTTGGGTGCAGCAATTTATGCACTGGCTGCAGCCAAAGCTAACAATGTTGGCTGGCATAAAAGCAAAACAATTGCCGAACAGCAAGAGGTGAACGCACATTGAAAGCCTGGCGCTAAGAGCCATGAAATAAATTTGAATTTATTTGAAATTATTAATGATAATTGCTCGATGTTCCTTCATTTTTCTTATGGATATTGAAGATATGTGATTGAGTAGAAATTTCTTAGCTTCTACAACTCAAACTGCTGTCCCGCCGTCCTGTTGTCCTGTTGTCCTGCAAGCCTCTCATCACGCTTTCACAACTTCCCATGTAGGGCTGACATTGGCAGTGCACATTTCCAGTGCTCACCTTTGGCCACACACCTGCCAGGTGTTAGTCAATTAACCAAGTTCTGCACAGCTCGCACTTGATGATGTAATTGTCACGCCCAGGCTGAGCAGGACACAGAAACGAGAGGCAAAACAGCAATGGATGCGAGGAGAAGTTCAGCAGAAATGAAATGGGTTAACTCTACATACATATAAATAGATGTAGATGTAGATGTGGTATATATGTATGTATGTATACGATTGGCCATTAATAAGAATTTTGCATAAATGAAATGTTTGATATCTATTCATTTAGTATTCATTTAGTAAAAATACTTATTCTATACTAAGATTATATTCTATGAGGCGACATGGCAATAGATTGGGATTTCACAGAAATGAAATGGGCTAAATGTATAAGATAAGTAAGTATATGTATAAATTATATACTATCAACCGAAATAAAAATAGATAAACATTTTATAGAAATTAAGTGCCTTAAGTCTATATTCATATAACTGTTGTATATATGTATATGTATAAGGCGAAATAGCAAATCTGTATACATATTTCTATGTATTTATATACCTCAATAATCAACTTCAATTGGGATGAAATTCAGATGCAGGCTTAATTCAGATTTATTCCCAAATTTATTCCCAAAGAGCAGCATATACAGCTTTCAATTTATTTCAAATCCGTTCCTAGACTTGTTGCGAGGCATTTCAATAGCTCAAAAGTTTGCTTTAATAACTTGGCCAAAATGATGCATTGCTGTCAGTAGGAGCTCAGCTTTAGTTCATCGTATAACGGAAACGCTCTTTAACTAACGCATACAAACATTTATGACAATTTGTGAGCTGCTAAGCCTGATGGCGTTGAGAATAATGGCTTTACGGCAAAAAAGAGACGCACGAATGATGAAGGGTGCCGGAACAAAGAATGGGAACTTTAACTGGAACTGGAACTGGGGCAAAGCTAAAGACAAACATGAGCTGGGCTCTATGGCAATTTGTTGTGTACATATGAAAATGGAAATTAAATTAAGCATGCTTGTACACACACACACAGAGAGAGAGAGAGAGAGGGACACACACACGCATACACATACTCGGATTGCAGGCGTTGTGTCAACACATTTTTCTATGCTAAACATTGTAAAACTTATTAGTGAAGTGACCGGAAATCTTGGAAAATCTGCACAGACACTAAAAGGATTCTCGCTTTGGCATAGCTTAGCCTAACGCCTACACACACACACACACACAGGCACGCACTTAGTCACACACAGACAGGGGCAGTGGAGCAGTCATGCATAGACTTCAATTTTTCAACAAAATGAGTGCACATTTGACAAATACACCTTCAGTGTCACGCCCGAAAGAGCAAGTCCCGAGACATATGTGTGATGCTATTGTAGCCTGTGTGTGCATGTGTGTGGGTGGCACATCCCAAACACATACGCACACGTACACACATCGTGCTGCTCTTGTGGGTTTTACAATTTACATGCTTTTTTTTCTCTTGCTTCTTACGCTGTCCAAAAATTTGCCAGCAAGAAAATATAAAACTTTGCACAAATTTGGTGCACACACACACACACAAATATATATATATATATATATATATATATATATATATATATATATA